CTCACTCTAGCCTGGGCAACAAAGCGAGACTCTGTCTCAAAAAAAAAAAGCAAGATACATGGCAGAGCCCATATAAAGAGAGGGGAAAAGGAACAAGGTTTGGGGGTGCCTCTGTAGAAAACTCTACAGAATGATTGCTGTCCACCCATCTCACATCATTTTCTTCACTCAGAACCCAGGGACTTTGTTCTGTTTGTTTATTGTTGTTTTATGAATGTGAGAAAATGTTTAAAGCATTTACTTGTCTCAATTATAACTTTTTTTTATGGGATCTTTCAGAACATTGCACTTGATGGTGCAAACATCTGTGGGGCCACCGTAGGTGGAAGGCAGAGTTTACTCACCAGACTCATAGGCCGAGGCGGATCTGTTGGAGTTAGGTTTGGACTGTGAGAATGAGCTGTTAAGGTCATTGGAGGTAGCTCAGGAAAATGTTGCTTCTTGCTGAATTGGGTGTGGTCTGGGCCACTGGAGTTTTGAGTGTAGACTGCCAAATTCATAGTGGATGTTGCACTGCCTACTCTGTTATTTCAATAAAGAAGTTGTCTACCATAATTGTGAAGGCAGCGATCAGAGATTTGATGCAGAACTGCTGTTGTGCGGTGCTGTTCTACTTCCCTTTCCTGCCGTTTGGAATGTGAATTCAGAGGAATTACTCTGACAGGTGAACCTGACTTATAACTAGACCTGCGAAGTAGAGATCTGGTTCTCTGCTTTACAAATGGGTTACCTTGATTTCTCTTTTTTTCTGAGACAGAATCTTGCTCTGTTGCCAGGGCTCGAGTTCATTGATGTCATTGTAGCTCACTGCAACCTCATACTATGGGGCGGAGGCACTCTTCCTGCTTATCTCTTGAGTTGCTGGGATTATAGGTGTGTACCACTAAGCCCAGCTAATTTTTTTTTTTGTAGAAATGGGTCTTACTACTCACCTGGCTTGTCTTGAAACCCTGACCTCAAGTGATTCTCCTGCATCAGCTTCCCAAAGTGCTAGGATCACAGGTGTGAGCCACTGCATCCAGCTCACCTTAATTTTTTAACCCTGCTCATGTGTCTTTTATTATTTGCCACAACAAAATATCAAAACTCAGAGTGTAATCAGAGTTGAAGTATAAAATGTTTTGCAGAGTGCTAAAATTTTGGCATTGTATTGTTTCTGTCACATACTGCCTCTAGCCTTAATCAAATTTTTTAACCTTTCTGTGTCTAAGTTTATCAACTATAGATAGTAAACAAGGATAACTACCCTCATAGAAGTGAAGATCGAATAAACTGCACATGTATCACAGTATATACCTAACATGTGCCTATCATTTAATAAATGATAGCTATTGTTGTTAACACTATTAATGGCAAAAGGATAAATTGATTTTATATGCACTTTTTAAGAGCACAATCATGTGTAAAGCATGGTATATTTTTTATTAATTTCAGACTTTAAATTTTTTTAATGAATTATGTTATCGAGTCAGTATCTTTATAGGATTAAAAGAACACAAAGAATGAAAGACTGGGAGTATCCTTCAAGATCTGTTAGTACAGCCTCGTTTTAGAGATCTAGAAACTGAAGCCCATTGAGGGGAACTTTCCCAAAGTCATACAGCTGGTTAGTGGGAGAGATAGGACTAGACATCAGTGTCCTGACTCCTGTTCCTTTAAAGAGTGACTTAGCAATAGTGCTTTATAGTTGGCATAGAAACCTCTAACTTTTAGGTCACATTACTTAAGCTGACCATTGTAATGATGGCAGATTCACATTATGGAATGAGTCTTGTTAGAGGGCTAGCTGAAATGGCTGGTGGGTGGCTCAAGTGCCCACCAGAGGCAAATTGGTGTGGGAAGAAAGCCCTGAGATTAGAAGCCAATGTACCTAAGGCCAGGCCTAATACTATCTTAGGGATCTTGGACAAATTATTTAGTGTCTGCTTCAGTAGTAAAGTGAAGATGATAGTATGTGCCCTGCTTCTATTTCATAGTGTGGTTATATTATAAAGTGTACAATATGAGATACATATAAAATTTTATACTTTAAAGGGTAAGGAATAATTCATAAAAGCCAACATTGCCATTGTGTGGCAGAATGAAAGGCCCTTTTAGCTGTTGGTTTCAGTATGCTATTGTTTTGGAGTCAGTCCTGTTTTAGAAGAATACAATTTCCTGTCTTGGGTCATTGACTCTTTCAATAGTAACTAAAGAAAATAACAGTTAAGTTCAATTACATAGTAGTGCTATAATAGTAGAGCTCAGTGGAAATTAAATCATATGCAGTAACTGACGTCATGTGGATTCATTGTATTAACATTTTTCATTTCCCTACAAGTCTGTTATATGTTATTTATAGCTTCCTATTCATAGAGACACCAGCAGCAAACTAGGGAATATTTGTGGCAGCAATTTGTAAGGACCACCTTCCAGCATCATCCCAAACCCTGTTATAATCCTTTTCCACAAAATTGTTGAGATTATATAGTATGTATTACAGAAAGAATGTTTTTCCATATGTTTGAAACTTTATAATAAAGTTAACCAGAATTAAAGGGAAACAATTCTAATTAGAGTAAAATGCCACTATCTGGAGAGACCTGATAGAAGGCTCCTTGTGGTAATGTCCAGGTCGGGATTAAATATGGTAAACCTGGGTAGTGGAAAAGAAAAGATACAGAGATGAATTGCTATAGAATACCTTGCTGGCCTAACAGCTGCCTGCTTGACCCAGATCTCTGAGCAGATAGTACTAAGGCATTATCTGACTTTCTGCTTAGCAGTCAAGAAGGACATCATTTGGGGTAGCATAACAAACCAGGTCATCTGAGGGTGAAGACCTACATTTATTCAGCACCTACTACATGCCATATTGTTTTGTTTAAGAGACAGAGATATATACTTATAATTTTAGAATGTCCTACACAAAATAGATCTATATTTACTTATACATTTATAACTAAATCACAGTCTAATATTTTAAAAAGCCAATGAAAGTTTATAGTGCATTTTGTTTTCATAAATTCTTTTGAGGATAAACCTCAAAACACTTTCTTTAAAAAGGTACATATCTCTGAAGAGTTGTATCCAGTCTTCTTTTCTGGTATTAGAGTCTAAAAGAATTGAAATCTCCTTTAACCCATTTAAGAATTTTTAAATTTGGTGTGAGTCTAATGAAAACCCAACAGAGTTTTTCTTAATGAACTTGACAAGCTGACAGTAGAATTCATTTGAAAGAGAAAATGTGTGAAAATACCCAGGAAATTTGAAAAAAGACCAGTGGAGACAAGATGGAGAATCATAAAACAAAATGAATTGAAGAGAGGAAGCAATTGTTAGATTCCTACTTTTCACTGTATAAAAAAATTGAATGGATTAAAGAACTAAAGATAAACTGTAAACTAAATATAAACTATAAAAGTAACATGAGAATTTTGTTTTTACCATCCTTGGGATAAGAAGTAAGATTTAATATCTGAGAACTGTAAAGAAAGTGATTGGTAAAATTGTCTTCATAAAAAATTAAAATGTCATAGGACCAAAAAACACCAAGTTGAAACAAAATTGACAAACAATAGATTGTCTGAAAGTATTTGCTACATAAATAAAAGCCAAAGGTGTAATGCTCATATATAGCAAGCTTACAAGTCAGTAAGAAAATTATGAATTAATCTACAGGAAAACAAAGGATTTGCACAAGATAAATGGCAAATAAACAAGATTCCCAACCTGACTAATAATTTGGGGAAGGCTAATCAAAACAGTGAAATATTTTTCACCCATGTGATGTAGAAAAATTAAAAAGCTTGTGAATATTTGTTGCAAAAGATGTGATTAACAAGTTGGAGGGCACATAAGTCAGTATAGGTCATTTTGTTTATTGGCTCAACTTGGTAGCATAAACACCCTTCAAACCAGTGATTTCAATTCTAAGTTTCTATCCTAGCAATCTACATATGCAAGTTTAAAGTTGTTTTAAATAAGAGCTTGGAAATAACCTAAAAGTACTTCAGTAGAAGGTTAAATAAACTAGGAAACACCTGTATTAAGGAGTAATACATCTAGTTATAAAGAATAATGTAGATTTGTGTGTTAATTTATTTCATGGAAATAACTCCAATATATACTGTTAAGCAAAAACAAACAACAAAAAGTAAGTTGCAGAACAATATATACAGTATACTCTATACTCTAAATATATGTTTAAAAAAAACCTCCCTAAACCATCTGTTTAAAAATGTGTGTGTGTGTATTGTGCACATATATAGTATGTAAATTCATAAGCAAAGATTTAAAAGAATGTGTGCCCATCAAACTGACAGTGGTACCTCTGGGGAGAGGTTGGAGCTAGAGAAAGAGGGTATGAGACAAGCCTCTTTAAAAAAAAAAAAAAATTCTGCATCCTTTCCTTGTGTTTGAAGCTTTTTATAGGAATTATACCCATATGTTATTTGTAAAGTTATATAATTATAAGCAAATAAATACAAAATAAGAAGCTAAGGGTACTGGATTATTTTCTGAAGTTTTTGTTTAAAATGTCCATTATTTTTACTCATGCCACTGTAGAAAGACAATGACTGTTTTTACCTGTGTAAATTAACATAGAAGAGTACACAGGAAACACTGATACTGTTACCTTCTTGGGCGGGTACATCCTCAGTACTTTCTTCAGTGAGTACATACCATTTTTGTAACTTAAAAAATTAAGAGCAGAGGCCCTCTTTTGTTATTGAGCTTTTCCCTCTTTTCTATTTCTCAGCAAAGGAGGGCATGTGGGTGTAAGTCATCTCAGGTAACCAGAGGTTGAGTTCATTGTCTCCTGCCCTGACCTTTCATAAACCTTGCCTCTGTGTCCTGAAGGCAGCCACCCTGAGTGCCCTCTGTCCTCAGCAGAGCCCTGGACACCTGGGCTGTGACGGGGAAAGATCCACTTCCCCTGACTAGCTGGAGGCATCCAGCAGCAGTTAAGGACAGCCAGCCATCTTACACTTGGTAACTTGCCTGTCTCATCCACTTAGGATGTTTACAAGCCTCGCCGGAAATATAAACGCCAACAGGGAGCAGAGGAGCTGCTTGATGAAGAATCTCGAGTCCATGCTACACTTTTGGAATATGGCAGGTAATGAATGAGACCCAGTCTAGGGGTCTGTTTTATAAACCTATTTAAAAGAAAAGCTCATTTAAATTATTTCTTTTGAATTAACTTGTTTGGAGTCTACCTGATTCAACTTAGTTTTCAGCCATGAGATTTCTGATATCAGGGGCTTTTTTTCTAGTATTGAATGATCTTAGTTTTTATGGGTAACCTCTGCAATTCCTGTCTGTGCCCTTGGCTCTGCCCGCCCCCCATGGGGGGTTGGAGTGTTTGAGGCATTTGCAGAGGCTGGTGTGATCTGCCCATCGTGTCCCTGCTATTTGTTATTAATAAAATCTTTAGGTAAATAAAAGAAATGAAAGCAGTTTCAGTAGTTTTACTTTAAATGTTAGAATAATTTTGGTTTTTTGTGAAGATTGTCCTGACTAGGAAAATGAAAATTTTAGAAGTAGTTTTGTCACTTCTTAAAAACATCTTAGTTTTTAAAAAACAATACTTATTTTATATCCTCAGTTTTTACTTAAAAAAAAAAACAAAAAAACCACAAGGACATGCTTCTCCCCATTGAATTTTTTAACTGCCACTGAGTATTAACCTTCTTTTATGCTCTGCATTCTTCACTCAGGGTTACTGATGCCTTGGTGTGAGTATGTCTCCTTGTGCTTCCTTTGTGCTGGGAGTGACTCCTGTGTGCTGCTCTGCCTCACCACCCAAACCTTGTTGGGTGGCTACAACTAACCGCTACTAGCATTTTCCTGAGTGAGCAGCAGATGGCTTCCCCCTGCAGGGTACTGGAGAGAACCAGAAGGAAATTAGGCTTAACTATACTAGTTTTCAAATGGAAAGTGCAAATGGTTTTTTTTTTTTTTTTGAAGTGATAGTTTGAGGTCAAGTCTTTTCTTCTTAAGAGTGAAAACTTGTCTGTTTCAAAGGAAATCGAGGTAGTTCTGGCCCTAGGCTGGGTGTGATGGCTGTCTCCACAGCCACCAGTTGTTTCTGTGACTTGAATGCCTCCTCTGAGTCAGGCATCGCCAGGACTAGCTGCATAATTTGTGGAGCCCAGTACAAAATGAAAATGCAAGCCCCCCCTTCCCCCTTAACAATTATAAGTAATGATTCATTGTTATTGTCAAGACAATAACAACCAAGTGCAGGATCTCTCCTTCTAACCATGGGCCCTTGTGCAATTGGATGGGTTGCATGCTCTCAAAGCTGGCCCTGGGGCACCATAATGTGGTCTTTCCAGCCAAGTCCCAGCTGCAAGTGAGCAGGTGAGCCATGGCTCCAGGACAGCCAGAGCTAGAGAGACCATCTCCATGGGTGTTGCATCTCCCAGAACCAAGGAGTGCTTAGGGGAATGTAGAGGTTTTGTTAGTTTGTATTGTTCATACCTCCAGTTTTTTCCATTATCATGGAAAATCAGATGTCCCTAAGATTCACCTATTACATAGTATTAGAGTCTTAATTTTGATTTGCCTTGAAGTCTTTCTGTAGTTAGCAAATGAAATATAACATGTCTCTCCCAACCTGTTTGTGTCTCCTGTGATGGTAAGGCCTACGGCATGCTCATAGAAGGTAGTTAGTGAATTCTTATTGAATGAATGAAGAACAGAGTTCACAGTCCTTAGTGTTTAGGGTTTTTTATGACCTTATTTTGTTCTGGATTCCAGATAGTTAGATAACTGTCTTAATTTGGCCCAAGGCAGTTACCTTGGAAGATTACTCTATTTTCTAAAACTGTGATGTCCAGTATGGTAGCCATTAACCATATGTGGCTATTGAGCAATTAAAATGTGACTAGTGTGGCTCAGGAACAAAATTTTAATTTTAATTCAGTTAAATTTAAATGTAAAAGCTCATTTTCCATTTAGTTACTAGAAAATGTTTAAGTATGTTTGGAGTAACTTGGATATGTGAATCTACTAATTTAAAAAATTATATATGTGGCTTTTCTTTATATTTCTTTTTTACTATGCTGTTGTAGAAGATGTACATCCTTGATTGAAAGACCCAGTCCTAGGTGTAGGGTATGAAGAAGTGAACTTGGGTGATGACAGGACTGGCGCTCTGTTGGTGCTGATGGTTCTAGACAGCAAAAGTTGAGGACCCAGAGCTAAAGACGGGGAAAGCAGGAACAAATAGAAGCTTGGGGCACAGCAGATTAGAGCTGGCACTTGGGGGAAAAGGGCAGGGCTGACAGGAAAAGAGGAAAGGGTGGCAGCTGAGGGCAGTGCTTTGTCATGGAAGCATTGCTGCCATGTCATGTGGAGAAGGAGGCCTTTAGAAAAATCATCTGGACTCTTTATTCATTCAGCAAACATTGAGTGCCTGCTTTGTGCCAGGCACTGAACCAGGCAGTGGAAATATAAAAGTGGATGAAGCTGTACATGAATATTTATAGCAGCACTATTCATAATTGCCAAAAGACAGAAACAACCCAAATGTCTATCAGCTGGTAAAAGAAAATGTGGTTTAACCATGTAATAGGATATTATTTAGCCATAAAAATGCATGAAGTACTGATGCATGCTACTACATGGATGAATCTTAAAAATAAAGCGAAAGAAGCCAGACACAGAAGGCCACCTGTTGAATGATGGGTTTCATTTATATGAAATGTTCACAATAGGCAAATCCATAGACACAGAAAGTAGATTAGTGGTAGTCACAGGCTGGAGAGTAGGGGAATTGGGACTAACTGCTAATAGGTACTGAGTTTCCTTTGGGGTATTGGAACTTTTCTGGATTTAGATAATGGTGATGGTTGCATAACATAGTGAATACACTAAAAACCAGTGAACTATACAGTTTAAAATGGTGGATTTATTTTATATGAATATATCTCAATTTTAATAATATATTTTAAAATATATAAACATTATATATTTATATAAATATAAAATAAATATATTTTAAAAATATATTTATAATATATAATATATAAAAATATATTTAAAAATATATTTTATGCCGGGCGCGGTGGCTCACGCCTGTAATCCTAGCTCTCTGGGAGGCTGAGGCGGGCGGATTGCTCAAGGTCAGGAGTTCGAAACCAGCCTGAGCAAGAGCGAGACCCCGTCTCTACTATAAATAGAAAGAAATTAATTGGCCAACTAATATATATATAAAATTAGCCGGGCATGGTGGCGCATGCCTGTAGTCCCAGCTACTCGGGAGGCTGAGGCAGCAGGATTGCTTGAGCCCAGGAGTTTGAGGTTGCTGTGAGCTAGGCTGACGCCACGGCACTCACTCTAGCCTGGGCAACAAAGTGAGACTCTGTCTCAAAAAAAAAATATATATATATATTTTAAAAAAATGAATGAAGTAAATTCCCTTCCATCCAGGAGTTCAACAGGCTTAGAGGATTACTCATGACAGAGAGTTATTGTGCATGCCACAATGAGTGCTCTGGTTGTATAAACACAGAAGCACACATCTGGGGAGCTAATATATATAGTTTTGAGTGGTGAGAGTCTCCCACAGCCTCTATCTTTAAGGAGGAGTAGATAGTTCCTGGGAATTGAGTCATATAGATTTAGTTGTTAACTGCTTTATTTGGAAAATCCACAAAGTCCCTGGGCCTTGGCTAAGGGCTATCTGCCTGAGGGTATATCTTCTGCCCTAAGAATCCCTGTAGGCTGGAAGCCTAGAAAGGGAAGGATAAATATTCAGGATGCATAGACACTTCTAGGAGTGGGAAACTGGCAAGACTCTATATTGGTCAGGGTTCCCTGCCTGGTTGAGAACACAAGTACCCTCCTACTAGTTTAGCAGAAGGAGTTGATTACAGACGGGCACTAGGCTGAGCCAGGGTTAGCTCCCAAGCCTTACATTAGAACTACTGTGTTTTCCCGAAAATAAAACAGGGTCTTATATTTATTTTTTCTCAAGAAGATACCCTAGAGCTTATTTTCAGAGGATGTGTTATTTTTTTTTAAGTATGGTACAACAATCCACATTTATTCAAATATAGTTAAGTTGTCTTCTTCTGGAACATCATCATAACTATCCAAATCCCTAATTCCATCCTGAATTTCTTGCGACTCTATTTCCCTTAGAACCATTGGCCCCAATCTCTCATGTCAAGCAATAGAGCTCTCATGGGGCAGATTAGAAGGGCTGCTCGTCTTCTTACCTCTCCTCGACGAAAAGCATGGGTTGTGCAGAAACGCTGCGTAATCAAACCCATCACCATGTCTTATTTTCGGGGTAGGGCTTATATTGCGCAAATGCTTAGAAATTCTGCTACGGCTTATTTTATGGGTAGGTCATATTTTCGGGAAAACACGGTCCTGATCATGGAGACAGAGGCAGCATCCCTGGAGCTCTACCATGTTTCTCAGAAAATAAGACCTACCCATAAAATAAGCCCTAGCAGGATTTCTAAGCATTTGCGCAATATAAGCCCTACCCCGAAAATAAGACCTGGTGATGGGCATGGCTACGCAGCGTTTCTGCACAACCCATGCATTTCCTTCAGGGAGTGGTAAAGAAAACCAGCAGCCCTTCTCATCAGCCCTGTCGTGACAGCTACTGTCCCAGAGATGACTGGAAAGGTGTGGGCAGCCCCACAAGGTTGGCTCCCCCTGTCAGGTTCCGGCCATCCTGCGCATGCTGCAAGCTGAGGCTTTGAGGGGAAAATAACACATCCCCTGAAAATAAGCCCTAGGGTGTCTTCTTGAGGAAAAATAAATATAAGACCCTGTCTTATTTTTGGGGAAACACAGTAGCAGCTTGTGGAATTGGGAAGCTGGTGCTTACAGCTGTTGGCAAGGGAACCACACCACTTCTGTCTGAATCAGGAAGCTCTCTGCAAATCAGGAAGCCACTGTGAAAGTCGCTGGCCCCAGAACCAGGTTGCTTCTACTGTGATCCACGCCAACACAATGGATCCTTTATGTGTTCCCTTTCTCCTTGTTTAATGGTTCCAATTCAAAACTCCTGCAAACGTATCTGTTTGGTGGAACTTAAATAGCACTCGAGAGCCTAGGTGTGAGAGTATGGAAAATAGTCTTTCCAGCCTCTGCAGTGTAGGAAGATGCAATAGATAGTGAGCCGATTCACAGAATCTGCCATGAGGCCCTTTACAGAGTTTATATAGATAGCCAAAATGTAACCTTGGTATGCTGCACTTTGGGCCTATCAATTCATGCATAAAGGATGAGCACACTATGCCCAGCAGTGAGTTTTTGGTCTCAACAAGTTATATGACAATCTGTTATCATAAATTCAGGTGATACTTTTGGTTTCTTGATTTTCACATTATTTTGCCTTACGTTTAGTGTATTCATTCAACAAACACTGGAAACACAAAATGTAAAAGTATAATCTGTGTCCTCAAGGAGAAGGATACAGATATACAGACAGACAGTCAGACATAGTCGCCTTCTGGGAACCGAGAGGAGCATGTGCAGATGCAGGGGTGGGTAGGCCAGGAACTAGCGTGTATGCATGGGGGTACCTCAGAAAAAAGGCAGCTGTAGAGCCCAGGGGTGTACATCGGGAATTAGGGGAAGAGAGGAGAACGGCTCAGTGTGTGCAGAGCTGTCTGCTCAGGCGGTAGATGGAACAAGAGTACATAAGGTGAGCTGCTGGAGGTGAGGCTAAATGGTTGTAGGCTGGGCCACAGAGGAGGTCCTGTTTTCTCCTGAGGGAAGAGGCTGCTGTTGATAAATGCATGTCAGGCCAACGTAAAACTGGATAAGGAGTAGGCAGGAAGAGTGGGGTCAGTGAGGCTAGGGGCCCAAGACGAGGTGAGAGGCCAGCACACCAACCAGCCAGAGAGGCATGGTGCGAGCGAGGACAGAGCAAAGCTCTTAATTTGTTTTTCTTAAAGGGTACATGGAATTTTATTTCTTTACAGGTTACTTAAAGGTATATGAGGCTGGGTGTTTTGCATTATGTTTTTTGTTTTAGGTTGAATGGTTTTTGCATTGTTATGCTTGCTTTAAAAAAAAAAAAAGCATAGATTAATTGCAGCCAGAAAATAAACTACTTTAAACTGAAGTGCATTTGTGTTTGTGTTTCTTTGAATTAAGGTTGTGTGAAGTGAGTGTACATTATTGGCATCATGGTTGGATTATGTTTGAGAATAAAAAGTTACTGAAGTAGCTACTAAAGAGAACGTTTGGCTGAAGCAAACACTTTTACATTTGTTTACACAGATATTTTTAAGGCTTTTAGCCTAACTGTGGCTCTGAATCACAGTTCCTGATTCAAAGAGTAATGATTGCACTTAAGGAAAACATTGTATTCTACTATCTGAGAGTTCCCATTTATCATATTTATATAGCAAGTATGGTGACTGGCCCATTATTCAAAAAGCAGTGGAATATGTTTGTGATTTAGGCACTTAAAACATTTTCTCCAGTCACCAAATAACCTAAATTCTCTTTTGTGCTTTTCATATAAAAATCCAACCAAAATGCATTTGATTGAATTTATTATGATATTTGAATTGTAATTGAACGCCTCTTTTTTGTGGCCCGCAGGAGATACGGATTTAGCCGCCAGAGCAAAACAGAGAAGGTAAGAAAAGCATAGATAATGGGAAAGAATACTTGAGAGATGGAAGCGACTCCTTCACCTCTGTCTGCTGTTCACAGTGTGGGCAGCAGCCCCCTGGGAAGCCCAGGAGGGGTGGGCTGGCAGGACTGCTGCTGACCAGGCACTGATCCCTGGGCAAGCTGGGGTGGCAGGAGGTGTGCCAGCTGCCTTTGGCCCCTGCATCTCCATCCTGTCTTTTTCGGCCTGCCGCCTCTACAGACCAGGGAGTGAAGCAGCAGTCTCATCCCGGGGATGGAAGTGAGGGGTGAGTGGAAGTTATGACCCCAGGGTCAGTCAGGTGAGATCTAATAGCTCCAAAGTGAGAATGTGAAGTCTACTTTCAGGGCTCCCAGAGCCTTTCTCATCTGAGTCACTAGACAGGTGTGGACAGGAAAGTGGCAGTGAGGTAGAGCAAAACTGTAAATTACGCGCCTCGCCACTGTAGAAACGTCAAGTGTTGAAGAACCAGGTAAGTCAGGATGGGCATTTCCACTTCACAGTGGAATCTCAAAGATTTTGTTAATGTATATGTTTATCGATCATCCTTAATTGTCAGCAGCAAGGCAGGCACATAAATCCTGTGGTTCCAAACCCTTACGGTGTTCCAGGCCCTTTGTTAAGGGCTCTGCGTGTACTTTTTCACTTATTTTCCGGAAGAACTCTATGAAAAGGATACTTACTGCTGTTTTTCAGGTAAGAAAGCTGATGCTCAGAGAGGCTCAGTGATTTGTCCAAAGTCACACAGCCCTAAAGTGCATTAATGAGAATCTGAACCCAGGTCTGTCTCACATCAAAGCACATCTCAAGTGCCAGCTAAAGTGGTCAGTGGCTTCTTAAAAAGTAGGGTCCTGCTGATTGAGATCTGTTATTAACCTTTTCTCATTCTCCACTGACTCCCGAATTTTCTTAAATGGGACAGACACACTCATGCCATTGTCTGCCTGCCATTCTTCCCCATCCAGCTCGCCCAGCCTCTGTCTGCTCCTGCATTGTTGTCTCAGTCCCTGGAGGGCGCCAACTGTGACTGCGAGCATTGTTCTGAAGCCAGACTGGCTGGTTTCAAATCCTAGCCCCTGCCCTCACTGTGCGACTTTGAATAATTAATCATTGTACCTTAGTTCACAGAATCTGTAAAATGGGGGCAGTCATTGTATCTACCTCACAGCATTATTATGAAGATTAAAATGGTCCAACACATAGTAAACGTTTAATAAGTGTTAACTAGTAGCAGTAATAGTAGTAGTTGCAGTAGATTGTTGGTAATTTGTCATGCACTGATCATGATATCCTCTTTTTTGGTTTTTTCATTATTTATTTTATATATATTTGTGTTTTTACTCAACTAAACATTTCCTGCAGAGCATGGTGTTTTCTGGATTTGAGTATGTAAATGTGTCATGTGGTATCTAAATAACGATTTGATGTGTACATTTAGTTTGATATGTAATTTGAGCCTGAAAAGATTATTTATATATTTTGAAATAAGGCAATTTTGTGGTGACTGGAAAAATCTATGTAGCTAGGAGCTTCATGGCGTTCCCCTGGGCAATGGTAGACTTGTTCTAGAAAAGCATCCCAGAATTGAGATGGCCTAAAAAGGGCATCTGAGACCAAATCTTTCATTTGACCCTAGAAGACTGTGATCCAGAGATCAGAGGTAAGCCTTGTTAGGGACCGACCTTCCACAGCCCCACCGGACAGAAAAGCAGAGACATTGAGGATGCAATCACAAAAGAGGAGGTTTATTTTCTGGCTAGCCAGGGTCCGAGCCTTCGAGCCCCAATGCAGTGGTCGCTCTCCTTAGGCAAGGACCCCGACCTGAATTGCGGGGTGCCTTTTATCCCCCCCCCCAAAGGGCCCTAGCAAGGCACAAACTAATTATGCGCTGGCCATGAGCTGACCTTTGAAGTGATTAATTTTCTTTGAATTCTGCGCGATCCCTGTGCATCCCACCTCCCTTTTGCCTTTCTTCACAACCCAAGAGATAACCGGAGGTATGAGTATAAACAGATGTGTGCTGTTCGCTAATTGCCTCACCCTACTTCACACGAAGGGGGGCGGAAAACTCTTTTCTTGTTGTGCCACTGAGACGCTGCCGAAGGGCCATCGAGGCGCCCCCACAGCCTGAGGTCACCCCACTGGTGGCTGACAGAGGTAGGGTTAAATCTCCAGACCTCTAGCCCATGTTTGGGGAAAAGCAGTTAATCCAGGGTATCTTGAGTTTGATATATTAAATAGTATAGAGCTTGAGGGTTCAGAGCATGAAGCTTGATCACCAGAGGAAACAGTTTTGATTTTTATCCTTCAGAGCAGTGGTTGTCAAACTTTGTTGATCACTCTTAGTGGTAAAAATTCTATTTTTCATCATGGTTCACTACACAGATACACAAACACCCCAAAAACAAAAGTTTCACTAAGGACTACTTAACCCTTTACTGCTTACAAAGCACTCTGATATATTTTATTCTATTACTTTTTTTTTTTTTTTTTTTTTTGAGACAGAGTCTCGCTTGTTGCCCAGGCTATAGTGAGTGCCATGGCGTCAGCTTAGCTCACAGCAACCTCAAACTCCTGGGCTCAAGTAATCCTTCTGCCTCAGCCTCCCGAGTAGCTGGGACTACAGGCATGTGCCACCATGCCCGGCTAATTTTTTATATATATATAAGTTGGCCAATTAATTTCTTTCTATTTATAGTAGAGACGGGGTCTCACTCGTGCTCAGGCTGGTTTCGAACTCCTGACCTCGAGCAATCCGCCCGCCTCGGCCTCCCAGAGTGCTAGGATTACAGGCGTGAGCCACTGCGCCTGGCCTCTATTACTTTTATTTAATTTATGTAGATGCTAGTCATACCTGCTAATTTACTTTCATGTCCCATTAATGAGTCTCAATAGTAAGTTTGAAAAAACACTCCTTAGTGATCTGCTCTTGAAGGTGTTAAAATAGGGGGAAAACCAAACAAAGCATAAGGATAGGTATGGCAGATGTGTATGGCCTGATGGGAACTTAATCAGCTCAGTGAGCAGTTGGCAAGTGGAGAAGGTGTTTGCCAGGCCCTGAAGCTGGACCTGCCTGCTCTGTATCTCAAATGAAGGCTCAGGTCTCTGGAATGCCTATTCTTCCCCAGGCTGGTGCAGCTCTCCAGATTTGTGTTTGCTTTCACAGACTCATGCCTCTTTGCACTATTGTCCTTTCTCTATTGCGTCTCCAACTCCAATGCTCAGCTCTTTTCACATCTTCCCTTCTAGGCTGAGGACAAGAAAGGAGCACTTCCCACGGGGCTGTCGGCAGCAGAAAAAGCTGATGCCCATGAAGAAGATGAGCTCCGAGCGGCTGAAGAGGTGTGTAGTTCATGGAGGCCCTTTACGGTTTCTGTTTAAGTCATGTGTGGACTTAAACACCTTCCTGTTTCCCTTGCTCACCTATCTTGAGCCTCCCCACAAGATGAGATCGAGGAAAATAACCCCTGGACTTCACCCAAAGACCCATGTGGGCATATTGCTTCTGTCTTACCTGGTCAGAACCACTCACTGCCTCTCCTGCCTGTTCCTCTTTCAGCAGCGTATTCAGTCACTGATGACCAAGATGACCGCCATGGCAAAAGAGGAGGTAAGGGGGGAGTGGGCTGGGGATGGGGGGAGCCCTTTGTGGAGATGGGGACTTGGCACCACCTTGCTCTGCTCTGGAAGTCTTCCTCCAGAACGACCACTTTCTCCACTGCCCTCTCTCAGTGCCTCTTCCTCGGGGTGTTCCTTTGGGGAAGCTTTTTATAAATGTCTAGTGCTGCTGTCCCTGGGGACCTCTGGGAGGGAGAGCAGGCTGTCCCTGCCGAGACAGCTCACAGGGCCTCTGGGGAAGAGCAGCGGCCAGCTCCGCCTCACCATAACCACAAGTTATGCCCCATGCAAAGGAGCCTTGCCTTCTGCCTCTTTCTGACACCATCTAGGTAGGACATGGAATTCCAAGTTTATAGTTGGTCTTCCCAGAGCTCAAAGTCTGTCTGGAAGGTTAGCCAAGTGCTCTGAAAGGATCATTGCTTTTGAGGCCAGGAAAGGCCTCTGGCAGTAAAGAGACATTTTAGGGGTTTTGAGATTTCTTGTCCTCTCCATTTGCTCTTTTCTCTTCCCTGAGTCTTAGGCCTGCCAAGTCCCCACAGGCTCTAGTGACACTCAGGGGGAGAAACCTGGGATTGATTGGGGCATAGAAATGAAGAACCATTTTCCAGGGGTACCCAGGGCCAAGGAGAATCTAGCACAGTCAGCTAAGTGATTCAAGAGGTAGAGAGATGGCTGAATATTCATCCTGAGACTTATTTTCTCCCTTCCTTATAGATGTATATGTGGGCAAAGCCAACTTATTTTTTTTCCCCTGGGACTGTTACCTATTTTATGATAATATTCGGAGTGTTCAGATTTTCTAGTGCTGTGAAAGACAAGACATGGCCTTAAGAGCCCTCCCTCCGTGTGATTGCAGAGCCGACTCACCGCAAGCTCCGTGGGCCAGATCGTGGGACTCTGCTCTGCCGAGATCAAGCAGATTGTGTCTGAGTATGCAGAGAAGGTAGGTGGGAGCCCGCTGGAGTCTGTGCCTCAGATAATGCCCCAAGGCTTTGTCTCCCACTCTCTCCCCCACTCCCCAGCAGTTGTGTGGTCTCGTTGTAACTCATCAGCCATGTTTGTCAAAAACATATACACCTGGCTTTACCACACACAGCAGCACTTGCCTGTTAGCTAAATTAATTTTGTTTCGCAGTGCCCACTTTTCTATAAATATAAAGGGAAAGCCTGTCTCACAGAGCAGTTTTCACGGTTGATAAATCGATGCCTTAGGTATAGAACAAGCATTTTTCCTTCTCTATCAGGCTTCTTATAACTTAGGCTCAGTTTGGTGATTGGGCTGAGGAATGAAGATTTGCCACGTAGGAGATAAACCCTATAACTCAGCCAAACCTAAGGCAAAATTTTTTGTTCTACTTTATTAAAAGTGTATAGAATGAAGAAAAGCCTAAAAGTCATATTTCAGCGTTAGCTTTTTTCCCATCCTAAGGATAGGCAGGAGGACCTTGAATATTTCAGGGAGACAGTGATTAATCATTTTGCACATAACTGATTCCAGTCTGGCTGAGATGTAGTATTGGTAAAATAAAATTTACAGAGCATTGTTGCACATCCCAACCATACTCAGTCTGCCCCATTAAAATGTTGATGTCTGTTGAAGCTCTCAGCTTTGCTTTTCTTATCTCAGAAGCCTTGATGATAAATTAGCTCTGTCCCGACCCTCCGTGCAATATTCTTCTGAAGAGGTTGCACAGGTGGTATAGTCAGGGAAAGAGTATTGCCCGTAATCTGGGGATATGATCTGTCCTAAACACAGCAAGGAATCATCTCCTGCCAAGAGAGGGGCCTTCTGAGCAAGACATTGAGTAGAACAGCTTGGAATTCCCAGGTTGGGATTCCCTCAACACCAATCCCCTCCCTCCAGTAAATGCTGCTTAACATGGGGTTTCTAGTCCAACTGAGTGCCCTCTCTTTCCGTTTACCACCTAATAAAGAGAACACTTCTGGTCAAAGTGTCAACAGAGGTTTGACCAGAAGAGAATTTTGGTTATCCTAAAAGTATGAATAAACTCAAAAGAGTTGAAGGTATAGTTGTGGAAAAAATGATGAATATGTCTCCCAAGAAAGTGTATTGGTTTACTGTCAGAACACACACCTGAATGGCAAGAGTGTGAGTTTATACCCACCATTATGTTGCCACATAGTATTGCTGAATCCTATATTTTAGAAAAAAAAGATAGCCAGATAGTGCACCCACTGCTGTTTCTGCAGGGACTTTTGATTTTTGTCTTCAGACTTGTCCACTGTGAGCAAATAGGCTCTCCGATTATTGTAAGAGGGAAAGCAGGCTTACCACCTTTGGATGGAGGTACACCTCTTCTCCCCAGCCCTTTCTCTGCCTAGGAGCCCTGAGGCTTACCTGCCTTCCCCAGGCAGTTCTGCATGTTGCATGTCTCCTTCTGGGTCTCTGTCTCTTTATCTCCTGAGATTTTTTTTTTTTTTTTTTTTTTTTTTTTTTTTTTGAGACAGAGTCTCACTTTGTTGTCCAGGCTAGAGTGAGTGCCGTGGCGTCAGCCTAGCTCACAGCAACCTCAAACTCCTGGGCTTGAGTGATCCTTCTGCCTCAGCCTCCCGAGTAGCTGGGACTACAGGCATGCGCCACCATGCCCGGCTAATTTTTTTATATATATATCAGTTGGCCAATTAATTTCTTTCTATTTATAGTAGAGACGGGGTCTCGCTCTTGCTCAGGCTGGTTTTGAACTCCTGACCTTGAGCAATCCGCCCGCCTCAGCCTCCCAAGAGCTAGGATTACAGGCGTGAGCCACAGCGCCCGGCAATCTCCTGAGATTTTTATTTGTCACCCTTGACCAGTGATCTCTACCCAGCTCTGAAGGCTGTATTCTACATTCTGATATTTATCTTGGTCTATTCTTTACTTCCATTCCATTTTTCTAGAAAAGAATGAAATTAGAAGTAATTTTGGACAGGAGGCAAAGCCAAGTCTCTTTCCAAGGACATACTGAATATATACAGTTGACCCTTGAACAACACATCCACATATACATGGGTTTTGTCCAACCAAATGCCTATGGAAGCTATAGTATTTGCATGATGCTAAACCCACATATCTGGAAGGCCGGCTTTTCTTATATGTGAGTTCTTTAGGGCTGACTGCTGGACTTCAGTATGTGTAGATTTTGGTATATGCAGGTGGTCCTGGAACCGATCCCCCACATACACAGAGGGACGGCTATAGTTCAAGTTCTCATGGAGAATTGGGGAAGGTTGAGAGTTCATTACTTGATTGTCTGCATCATTTTCTTTGAGTAGAACATAAAGCTAATGGCTTATAAAATTAAATTGCCTTTAATCCGTTTCCCATATCATGGTTATTTTACATTTGCATATTATCTTGCAGTTTCTGTCCTCAGATATCCATGGTTGTGCATAGTCGCAATCATCATGCGTGTCTAAGAGAGGTAGGATAGTGCAGTGGTTAAAGACGTAGCATTTGGACTCATATTGTGGTTCACATATGTCTTTATTTCTCAGCTATGTGACATTGGCGAGTTATTTAAAATCTCTTTACCCTAGTATCTTCACTTATTAAATGAGAATAGTATTACTATTTTAGCAAGTGTTGTGAAGATTAAATGAAATGTAACCAAAATGCCTGAACAGTGCCTGGCATATAATAGCTCTTCAGTTAACGATAGCCTTTATTTTCATTTTAAAAATCTGCATTATTTTGGTCACATCACATCCTAAACACTTTTCATGTTTCTATCCTTTCTATTTATTTTAATAACTATATAATCTACTCGTTCATACAGCACAATTCATTGAACATTTACCCTTCTTACACTTTTAAGTTGTTTCTGTTTGTCACTATAGGTAATATTGTTGTGAAATCTGAACACGTAGTTTCTGCTGAAAGGTTTCCAGGAGTTAGGGGGATTAGGTTATGACTCTTCTGTGTGGCTTTACAAATAAGTTGTAACTATATAAAATGCTGTCCTTGATGCGGGGAGCTTCCCAGCATGCCCCCAGCACTTTCGCTTTGATTGTTCATTTGTCTACTTGTTACTGTATTTGCTGTATAATGGCATCTCTTTGGACCACTGAGGATTGAAGATGGTTCTGTGTAACTAAAGGTTACAGAGGTTAAGTAACTTATCCAGTATACTGCTAATAAGTTCCAGGTTTGAGTACAGGACTGTTTGTTCACTCTATTTTCTCCTGTGAATTGTCTATTAATAGACTTTACTCATGTGATGTTTTCCTTGTAAATTTGAATAACGTCTCTATTCTAGATTTAAATATTTTGTCACTATGATACAAATATTTCTCAGGCACTTTAATTTACTTTTGTATTGTTTTCCGTTATATGCTAGGAATTTGTACCAAAATTGGTCAATGTTTTTCTTTATTCTTGTTTCCAAATAAGTGGCTCGTTGTTTTTTCCATGGCTCTGATAAAGTAGTCCATTACCTTTCAGCTAATCTCTTATTATGTTTAATTCTTATTAATTCTTATTTGCTTGTTATTGTTTCGTCAGTGACCCATTGCCAGAGGTCTAGTTGTGTTCAGCCAGGAATACACCCATAGTTGAACAAGTTGGGTGTATTGCTGGTTGTAGGGAGGGAGAGCACATACCAGTGGGAATCATGGGGCATCTCAGTAAGAGGGTGTTAGTGTAGATTTCAGTCTTAGTATAGATTTGTACTTGTATTAGGTGTTTTGGGGGAGGGTTCAAGGAAGTGGCGCTTTGCTCTGTTGTATGTTGTAAAGATTATTGAGCCTATGAAATGGATGAGTATCTAAGTAAATCTTATCTCTAAGACATGGAGGGAATGAATCAAATTTAAAGCTGTGTGTGCATGATAGCCAATTTAGAGAGCATTTGGCCATTTTTGTGATTTGGACAATGTTTTTGTTATTGTCCATGTTCAGACACGATTGCAGAGTGGTCCTGTTTTATCTTGATCCTTGCTCACAGTAATAGAGTGGCCTTGTTTAGTATCAGTGTTCTTTGATATTGTGTATATTTAACACCAAGATGTGGTTATGAGTGCAGGCCAGCTCACAGGAACATCAAGGCCTTGCTAATAGTAGTACCAGGCTAGCTCTCAGATGTCAGGGGCCGCTTTTCTCATTCTCAGTTGTTTGTATTGTCATCTATCGCTGCATAGCAATATTACTACAAATGTTAGGACTTAAAACAACACACATTTACTATCTCATAGTTTCCATGTGTCAGCAGTTGGGCACAGTTTGGCAGTTTCCTTTGTGACTCTTAAAAGGATACAGTCAGGATACTGCAATCTCATCTGAGCCTCTACTAGGGAAGATTTCGCTTCCAAGCTTATGTGGTTGTGGGCAGCATTCAGTTTTTTTGACCTGTTGACTGAGGTCACCAGTTCTTGTTGGCTGTTAACTGGAAACTACCCTCAGTTCCTTCCACATGGACCTCCCCAGCATCGCTACTTACTTTCATCAAACCCAGCAAGGGAGGGCGTATCCTTGCAGGATATACATTATTGTCTTATGTAATGTAATTGCATACATGTAATTATGTATGTCCTGTCATCTTTGGTGTATACTATTGGTTAGAAGCAAGGCATAGCTCCCTCCCACACTTAAGGGGAAAGTATTGCACAAAGGCAAGTATGAACACCAGGAGACAAGGATCATGGGGCCATTGTAGGGTTGTCCACCTTAGTTTGTGTATTTTTATTTTTTATTTCTCTTTTCCTCTTTCAACAATAATTTGTCTTATTTTTTTTTATTTTATTTCCTCAAATTGGGCTAAAAATGGTCATTGGCATTTCATCTCGAATAGATGCCGCTACCTTCAGGGTTTCAGTAATAAACCTTGGAAGTAGAAATGAGGTTGAGGAACATCCAGGAGAGAAGCCATCAGTAGGACCTGAGAAAAACCTGATTAGGCTGAGATCAGCATGTATTTCTGCTTAGTGAAGAGAAGGGACAAGATAATTT